CCAGTGCCCATGCCCTTCCCCTTACTTCCACCTTCGCACTCTCCCCCTTCCCTTCTTGCCAGTCCCTTACTGCTTTGATTTGCAAGATGTCTGGTGCTTTGTATTGTGGATTGTCTGGCGTTTTGTACTTCGAGTGGCTAATGCTTTTTGTCAAACCTGTTCTCTTCTGTTGCCCTTCCCGCCAGTCCATCTGGTGCTTTGTCTCTGAGGCCAGGGCAAATGGTGTGGACTCAGCCCAAGAAAGCATGCCAGAGGTGGGTGTCCCACGTGTCTTTCATGATAAGTACACATATATCTATATATATAACTATATATATACATAGCTTTCAGTCGCCTCAAAGTCGTCTCTGTTTAAGAGGCCAGGGCGAATGGTGTGGACTCAGCCTGAGAAAGCATGCTAGAGGTGGGTATCTCACTTGATAGGAAATCGGTTTCTTCCAGGCGCCTCAAAAGTCGCAAAAGTGCCTCAAAAGTCGCAAAAGTGCCTCCAAAGTCGCAAAAGTGCCTCAAAAGTCGTAAAAGTGCATCAACAGTCGTAAAAGTGCCTCAAAAGTCGTAAAAGTGCCTCAAAAGTCGCAAAAGTGCCTCAAAAGTCATGAAAGTGCCTCAGAAGTCAACCAGGTGCAGAAAATCGCTAGAGGTGGCTTTTCCCCTCGTCTTTCTCTACTTTTCTCAACTGCTTATTTTCAGCCACTTCATTTGACTGGGCAAAATTATTTTCCCAGTCCTGTCTTCACACGCCTATGTTCTGGGACGTGTAAGGATTCAAGACGTCTCGAAACCCGTCTTGCTTTACTTGGGTGGGGACTCTCAGCTGCCTATCCCATCATCTCGCCACACACTCTTCCTGCTCCCCTTGCTCAGGTGCCTCGAGACCCAGGGAAGGTGCTACGAGCAGCGTATGACATGTTCAAAACGGGAGCTGACCCCTTGCAGGTAATCTCGTGCAGTGCAACTAATCCCTTGAGGCTGATCTCTCTGGTCCCTCCCTCTCGCACCCCTCCCACCTCCCCACCTCCCACTCGTGACTCACCTCGCTCCTGCTTCACCTTGCAGGTAATCTCGCGCAGTGCAGCTAATCCCTTGAGGCTGATCTCTCTGGTCCCTTCCTCTCGCACCCCTCCCACCTCCCCACCTCCACACTTCCCACTCATGTCTCACCTCGCACTTGCTTCTTCCTCCATTCCTCCGCACTCTAAGTGGTAGACGCTTACATGCCACGTTACAGTGTTCTCAATCCAGCGTTCACACACATATGGGGCGTGGCATGGCAAATGGAGTGCCATGGCGTGGTACTGGACATGACATGATGCGGATGGCATGGCATGGCATGGTATGGAACCAAATGGAACTGATGGCATGGCATGTGGAGACACAGGTGTTGGCAGCAGCAGGGGATGACGAGGGTGGGTCATCAGCCTTCTATGCTCGGTTATACGTCGGCCTCTTCTTTGAAATCATGGTACTGTTTTTTGAGGCGCCTCAGAAGGTGATTTTTTAGGCGCCTCGAAAGGTGATTTTTTAGGCGCCTCAAAAGGTGTTTTTTTAGGCGCCTCAAAACGTGATTTCTTAGGCGCCTCAAAAGGTGATATTCTAGGCGCCTCAAAAGTGATATTTTAGGCGCCTCAAAGGGTGATTTTTAGGCGCCTCAAAAGGTGATTTTTTAGGCGCCTCAAAAGGTGATATTTTAGGCGCCTCAAAAGGTGATTTTTCAGGCGCCTCAAAAGGTGATTTTTTAGGCGCCTCAAAAGGTGATATTTTAGGCGCCTCACAGATAGCCTTCTATGCTCGGTTATGTGCTGGCCTCTTCTTTGAAATCATGGTACTGTTCATGTCATAAGGATGTTTCGAGTCTAACAATTATTGTAGGTCTAACAGTCATGACAGCTTGTGAACTTCGTTTGTATGTGCCCATTTGTGCATGTGCCCATGTGTGCATGTACCCATGTGTGCCTGTACCCACGTGTGCATGTTCCCATGTGTGCATGTACCCATGTGCGCATGTACATATGTGTGCAGGTACCCATGTGTGCATGTGCTTATGTGTGCATGTGCTTATGTGTGCATGTGCTTATGTATGCATGTGCTTATGTGTGCATGTGCCCGCGTATCCATGGGCTCATGCCCAGCATGTATTTGGCCTCTCCCTCACTCTACGACTCCCTCCCCCACACACACGCACTCACTCACTCTCGTACTCACTCTCAACTCTCTCCTTCTCCCACTGGCCCTTCAGGGGGATGAGGCCACAAGTCGGAAGTACATCCAATCAGCAGCTGCCACGGAATACGCCTGCAGGTAACCCATTTACCTTGGTTGCGAAACTCCACTCACCTGCCTTGCACTGCCGGTTGCGAAACCCCACTCACCCCATTCCACACAAACTGCCTGATGGCATGGCAGCAGTGGCATTGCCCTCTCAACTCATCAACCCAAAACTCACCTTGTTGCAATGGCGCATGACATGATGATACCGTTCCACTCCTTCCCTCAACAGTTCCCAAGCTGATCGTCTAACTACATGGCAGCAGTGGTGCCAGCGCATTGTTTGAGACGCCAGTCGCAAATCCTGCTTTTTTCTTTTCCCTTGCTTGCACTGCTCTAGCGCCTTCGTGTAGATAGGTTGTTTTTGAGACGTCTCAAAAATAACCTATCTACACGTGGCTCCTTGCTTGCACTGCTCTAATGCCTTCGTTCCACCTTCGTCTGTTTCCCCCTCCTCCTCCTCGTTCAACCCATCCACGAGAGTCGCTTTTGAGGATTCTCAAAAGAGATTCAACCCGTCCAGCACGGGTTGTCTGACTACATGGCAGCAGTGACGCGAGTGCATTGTTGCAACAGCAGTGTCGAACATTGCTCTACCCTTCCTCCCTCTTTCACCTCTCCTCGTCCTTCTCTTCCCTCACCCTGTTCCATCACAGATCGTCAGGCTACATGGCAGCAGTGGCACGAGTGCATTGCTTGAGACGCCAGTGGGAAACTCTGCTTACCCTTCCAGCCTCCTTCCCCTTTCCCTGTCCTCTTCATTCACCCTGTTCCATCACAGATCGTCAGGCTACATGGCAGCAGTGGCACGAGTGCATTGCTTGAGAAGCCAGAGGTGGCAAACCCACCTCACCCTTGCACTGCTCGAGTGCCTTCTTCCCTCCTTCCCCTCTCTCTGTCCTCTTCATTCACCCTGTTCCTTGCAGATCATCAGACTACATGGCAGCAGTGGCACGAGTGCATTGCTTGAGACGCCAGTGGCCACTCCCTCCCTCCACTTTCGACGATTAATCTCTTCCAAGTCCCATCGGAGCTGCCTGCTCAACCTGCGAGTAGACTCATGCACCCGCTACCCTCTACCTCTACTCCAGTCGATCAGTGATTGTCGACTCTAAACATCTGTTTTACATGATTAAGTGCGTCCGAGCCGAGCCCGACTCTCAAGTCGTGTTCTTTCCACTCTAGGAAGCATCAAGCTTCCAAGAATCTGGGAAAGATGGCATATCAAGCAACGCACCAGACGAAGTTGAAACAACTAGGACTGCATTGCATTACTGGTTCATCTATATGCACACATGATTGGGACAGTCAACAACAGTCCCTTGTATAATCTCACGCTACACTCAAGAGAAGCAAAACGTATAACACGGTGTTTTGTCCGTACTCGCACATTGAACAAAACTGCGTCAAGCCAAGCTCTGCTCCTTGCGCTAAGTACTTATGTTGGCTGGTCCAGCTCATTACTTTGGTAGCCTGTTGTGACTCACGAGCCTTACAGTGAGCCTCTCACTACAGTGAGTCAATAAGCTTTATGAATAATCTATCCAAAGTAGTCAGGCTCATTCCCGGGCGCCCACTTTATGTTGCAGCCGATGCTGCACAAAGACGATGAAGGATAGTCAGGGAAACAAAAGATGGTATTGCAGAACAATCAAGCAGGGTTTTTGCAATCGAGTCAGCCAAAGAAGGGTAACCACGAACAACCACATGGGAATTTAGATTAGACCCCCATCTAGTAAATAATGCCTTACCTGGGCTTCTAAGCGCTGGGGGACAGGTCACGCAGAGAGCACACAGTCGAGAGAACGTGTTTTGAGCCTGTGTTTTGAGGCGCCTCAGAATAATCAAGTTTTGAGACGTTTCGAAACTATGACCAATGGGACGACTCCGACCGGTAGGCAAGCAGTGAAACCCACCTGGGCCTCTGACCGCTGGGGACCGGCTTTCCAGAAAGCACGTCCAACCCAGAGCCTTGCAGGGATCCTAGCTGGTAACCGGGTAACCGTTGGGGTTCTAGACCCTAGTCCGTATTGCCATCGAGAACCTCACCTCGGCTTTTGATCGCTGGCGACTGGCCTGCCTCCTTGGGGGCAGGCATCACCTTTGGGGGACTGGCGTGCCTGTGACTGGGTAAAGGCAACCTTACCTGGGCTTCTGACCGCTGGGGACCGGTCGAGCGGACAGCACGCAGTCTAGGGCAGGCACGCAAGTCCTTCCCGGTGACCTGGCGGCCGTTGGAGGGACGGGAGTCGTCCAGCTGGCAGTGGTATGCCAGCTCAGATGGGGGTCCTTGCTGGTGAGCAGAGAACGACCCCAAAGTCAAGGCTTTGAGTGGGTAAAGGCAAGCTCACCTGGGCCTTTGAGCACTGGAAACGGGTCTTGCCGACAGCACACAGTCAAGAGCAGCACGCAGGTCCTTGGTGGTGAGCAGAGAACGACCACAAAGTTAAAGGTGGGTAAAGGTAAGCTCAGCTGGGCCTTTGAGCACTGGAAACGGGTCTTGCCGACAGCACACAATTTACAGCAGCACGCAGGTCCTTGCTGGTGACAGGGCGGCCGTTGGAGGGGTGATGAGTGGGCTCTTAGACCCCTACCTACCTTGCTACCGGACAGCTTACCTGGGCCTCTGGGCACTGGAAACGGGTCTTGCCGACAGCACACAATTTACAGCAGCACGCAGGTCCTTGGTGGTGAGCAGAGAACGATCCCAAACGTAAAGGTGGGTAAAGGTAAGCTCACCTGGACATTTGAGCACTGGGGACCGGTCGTGCAGCGAGCACACAATCCAGTGCAGCACGCAAGTCTTTCCTGGTGACTGGGCGGCCATTAGAGGGGAGCAAGTCGTACAGGTGGCCGTGGTATGCCCTTGGGTTTGCATTGCCATCAAGAAGCTCACCTGGGCCTTTGCGCACTGGGGACCGGTCGTGCAGAGAGCACGCAGTCGAGAGCAGCACGCAGGTCCTTGCCGGTGACCGGGCGGCCGTTGTTGGGGCGGGAGTCGTCGAGCTGGCCGTGGTATGCGAGCTCAAAGGGGCGGCGGCCGTCCTTTTTGAAGAGAAAGAAGTCTGGCGTGCAGGCAGCGTGATAGGTCTTGGCCACCTCCTGAGTCTGGTGGAAGGGTAGGAGAGAGGGGAGAACGGCCGTCCTTCTTGAAGAGAAAGAAGTCCGGCGTGCAGGCAGCATGGTAGGCCTTGGCCACCTCTTGCGTCTGATAGATGGGCAAGAGATACGGGGGGAGGGGAGGTGGGGAGGGCATGGGGCATAGAGGGCTATGAGGTGTGCCCGTGGTATGCCAGCTCAAACGGGCGGCGGCCGTCCTTTCTGAAGAGAAAGACTTTGGGCGTGCAGGCAGCATGATACGCCTTGGCCACTTCTTGAGTCTGCAGGGTGGGGTTTTGCAGGGGAAAGGAGGTCGGGTGATCGGGAAGGACAACCATCCTTTTTGAAAGAGGAACAAGTCTGGAGTGCAGGCAGCATGGTAAGCCTTGGCCACCTCTTGAGTCTGATAGATGGGGGAGAGTGGGATTGGAAAGGTTGATTGGTAAGGGAAAGGTAAAGGTAAGAAACCTTGTCGAGCTGGCCGTGATATGCAAGCTCGAACGGGCGGTGGCTGTCCTTGTTGAAGTGAAAGAAGTCTGGCGTGCAGGCAGCGTGATGGCGCGGCAGGGGCAAGACACATGAGGTTTAGGGCGGGGGAAGATGAGTGGGTTAAAGGCCATGGGACTCACATTATTATAGAGGTAGGGGACGGGGAAGCTGAGCTGCCTGAATTAAGCGGATTCGCAGCACAGCAGGACAAGCAACAGATCGCCGGTATGGGGCTTACCTTTCGTGCAGTACAGTACCTTTCTAAAGTTTTTTTTGAGGCGCCTCAAAAGTCTTTCTTGCAGTACAGTACCTTTCTAAACTTTTTTTTGAGGCGCCTCAAAAGTCTTTCTTGCAGTACAGTACCTTTCTGAAGTTTTTTTTGAGGCGCCTCAAAAGTCTTTCTTGCAGTACAGTACCTTTCTAAAGTTTTTTTTGAGGCGCCTCAAAAGTCTTTCTTGCAGTACAGTACCTTTCTAAAGTTTCTTTTGAGGCGCCTCAAAAGTCTTTCTTGCAGTACAGTACCTTTCTGAAGTTCCCAAAAAGGGAAGCGTGAAACCCACCCCATCATAGAGGTAGGGGAACGGGAAGCTGAAGTGCTTGGTGGTCACAGAAGACTCAGGTTCAACTGCCACTTAGTGAGATGAACTGACGGGGCACGGGAAGCTAAAGTGCTTGGTGGTCACAGAAGACTCAGGTTCAGCTGCCACTTAGTGAGATGAACTGTCGGGGCACGGGAACCTGAAGTGCTTGGTGGTCACAGAAGACTCAGGTTCAGCTGCCACTTAGTGAGATGAACTGTCGGGGCACGGGAAGCTGAAGTGCTTGGTGGTCACAGAAGACTCAGGTTCAACTGCCACTTAGTGAGATGAACTGTAGGGGAACGGGAAGCTGAACTGCTAGATTCTAAAAAACACTCAGGTTAAACAGCCACTTTGTGAGATGAACTGTCAGATGAAGGGTGGGTGAGACGCACCTCGTCATAGAGGTAGGGAAAGGGGAAGTTGAACTGCTTGGCTTCCTCAGCCATTTTATCGGGTCCGTCCTGATGCGGGGTAGAGGGAGGAGAGGGGTGCAGCAGAGGGGACGTGGAGCCAGGAGGAAAGAGGAAATTGAAAAGCAGAAGGGGAAGTTGAACTGCTTGGCTTCCTCTGCCATTCTGTCAGGTCCGTCCTGTTGTTGAGTAGAATGCGTAGAGGGGAGATTGAGGAGCATAAGAACGCAAGTTGAGAGACAAAGAGTGGTGACCTGGTTCACGGTCATTCGAGGAACGACTGACACGTCATCTCGAGGCTATTGTGAAGCATGGTGCGTCATAGCATTCTGTATTCACGACCATCACAACTTTCGGTAGGTTGCACGGCTTACCTGAGGGTGGGTGAGCACCGAGTTGGACGAGATTGCAACCACTGCTAGCCCATGCTGCATGGAAGATGTATGGGGAGCAACAAGAGAAAGGGCGGGAAGCAAGCAAGGGGAAGGAGCAGCCGAGTGGGTGTGGGGGCCGAGTGGGACGAGTTGGCATGGCAACCACTCCTAGCCCATGCTGAAGAGAATTGGAGGCGAGAGGACGTGTGGAAGAGTAACTCGGACATGTAACTTGGAGATGTAACTTGAAGATGTAGCTCAAAAGTGTACCTTGGAAATGTACTCGTTGCCAAGAGCAACAAGTTGCGACTTGATATGAACCACGAACGGGCAATGGTTGCAGATGAACATGACCTGACAGTGTCCGGTTTGAGAAGGTGGGGAAGGGGTAAAGAGGGGTGGAAGACGGTGGAGGGGGGAGGGGGAAGTGGAATAGGAAGGAAATGAGTCTGTATGAACCACAAAGGGCATTGATTCCGGAGGAGATGACTTGGGAGGCGCGGTGTTCACAAGGAGGAGGAATTGGACTGAGAGGGGAGAAGGTGTGCTCATTAACCATAGCTACCCAAAAGAAGGATCTTGAGAATTTTCAAAAGGGGCTCACTGAACCATTGCTACTCAAAAGGAGGTGGCATTACGAGGAGGGCCGGGTGGCCGTCAAAGTCGGAGGAGGGAGAGGGGTGGGAGAGAGGGTTGGGAGAGAGAAGGAGGGGAAGAGAAGGAGGCGGGAGAAATGGGAGGAGGAAAGGAGGACTTACGAGGAGAGCCGGGTGGCCGTCAAAGTCGGAGAGAGACCATGTCTTGCCGGTCAGCGGCTCCACTAGCTGGTACATTATGCACATAGGTATTGTCACATCGCGTGTACAGTCACACGGGGATACAATCACACACGCATGTAAAGTCGGAGAGTGCACGCGCGCGTCAGCAATCGGGGCATGTCTCTCGCATGCCTTGCTGCCTCCTGTGCATAGGACCATAAAATAATAGCTGCAGGATTCAGCTGCATCGCTCGACATTCGATACAAACTGCATCTGCAAATTTCTATATGAGTTACTAAATCGTTAGTGTGTGTACTTGAAGAAGAGCAATCTATTCGTCCTAGCTGGTAACTTACCGTGAAATCCGGCGCTCGGGTGCCTAAAGCGAGAGGCTGCGACTCGGTGAGCACCATTCTCACCCCCAACGCGCCGCCCTCTCCCCGCGGTGCGCGAGCCTGCTCCGGCTGTAGCGCAGCTACCGGCTGTCGCGCGCTGCGACGCGAGCAGAGCGCGCGAACCGGGTAACCCGAAAACACGCGACGCTGCGAATCCGACTGTAGCGCTAAATCCGGCGGCTGCAGCGGGAGCGCGATTTGCGGGAACCTTTACGACGAGAGAGGCCGTAGGGGAAACGACTTGGCGGGAAACGCGAGGAGCGTGATATGTGGCAGCGCGTCGGATGGGGACGTGGTGGTGAGGGGCCGCGGAGATGTGGCGCGGAAACGCAAGCACCATTCTCGGCGCCGCGAGGCCGTGATTCGCGGAGAGATTCGTAAGCTTTGCGTGTTGCTGATTTCAAGTCTGTCGCACTGTCAGTCAGTTATCTTGCCTGTCGTCAACCG